CTCCACGCCCTTCCCTCTGCACCTGTGCGGGAGTCAGTCGCCCTGCATCTGCCAGCGTCGCTTCTCAGCTCCTCCCGCAAGGCGCCCAAGTGTCTGCCTCTTGACTCCGGTGCCGTGGTCAGTGGGCCCGTGGAAGTGACCTGCCCACTCTCAGCTGGGCTTTCCCTGGCTCTGAGCCTCGGGACTGCCCCGGAAGAGTTTGGCCCGGCAGCTGGCCGCCGCCCTCCGTCCCAAGCAGACCCCACACCTTCAGCCTGAAGCAGCACACCACAGCAGGCTCCTCTACTCCTGTAACTCTTCTATAAGCACGATTTTGATCTCAGTGCTGGGGTCCAAATCAGGGCCTGGTCCATGCTTAGGCAAGCACCCTACTCCCGAGCTGCACCCCCAGCCCTGGAAGTATGATTTTTTTTTTTTTTTTTGGTACAGGGGATCGAACTCTGGTCCTTGCGCTTGCGCAGCAGGCGGCAAAACTGCTGAGCTAAATCCCCGGCCCATGGAAGTATGATTTTTTAAAAACGGAAATATTTTTTAAATTACGCACACGCGCGTGCACACACACACACACAGTTATGTGCTGATTTTCAGGACTAATAACATTATTCTGCATTTTCAAGTCTTATTTAAGGTTACTTAGAATTCTACGTCAGCTCTGGATAAAATCAGCTTACTCATGCCCATGTAGTGTTACTCAATTTGTTCTTAGTATTTTTTCATCTTCAGTGTTTTATCAGTTTTTTAATAAAAAAGGATGCTAGTAATAAATTATACAGCTTAGGACATGGCTCTTCATCCTTTTTGCCACTGTCCCACAAAATTCTTGCTCAGCACTGGGGGAGGGAGGCCACTTATTACTCTACAAATGTGCTCTCCAATTTTACCTTTTAAAAAGCATAAAATAAAATTTGATCTCAGAAGTCAGCCTTATCGGCTTCAGGTGTGCTGGCAGAGCTAGCTGAGATTTCATTCCAACCACAGAACCTCCGAGCTGGCTGGAGTCCACAGCTGTGGTTCCTTTGAAACAAAGAGGTCATAGATACAACTATCAAGATGCAGGCAGTCGACTAGGACAGACAAAAAAAACTCTGAAACTGACTTTAACAAAGTGATACAAACAATAAGATGATGTCCTTTAATATGGAAAGACTTTCAGTTAGCCTCAGTGAATCAGAACAAGAGAACAAAGCCGAAAATTTTTCCAGGATTCTGACGTTTTAATGGAGTTATATGGATTGAGGTTGTGTTTTAGTATATGTGCTGCTGAAGCGAGCACAGGATTGTGTTTTAAAGCAAAACCAGGCCGGAGATTTAGCTCAGTGGTTCTGCTGTCTGCCTCAAAAGCACAAGGTCCTGAGTTCGAGCCCTGGTACCAAAAAAAAAATTAAAGCAAAATCAGAATGGTTTGAAAACACACATCTAGAAAATGAAGACTGCATTTCCTACCTTACGACTGTACCCAGAATTCTACAGTGGCTCCTGATACATTGGATAAAAGCTGCTTACTCACCTACATAGTGTTACTCAGTTTATTCTTGGTATTTCTTTCATTTTCAATGTCTTATTTGTTGAATACCAACAAGGATAGCAATAATAAATTATATAATTTGCTACACAATTCTTCAAACCATCGTTTCTATCGTTATGCTCAACACCCACCATTACTGCTGGATATTGGGATACAGGAGGTTATTCCTTACAGTGTACATGTGATGTGACAATTTTAATAGCAATGAAGATGCCACATCACCCCAGCCTAAACAGGAAAGCAAAGAGGGACATCCAAAGGGGGCCAGCTGGGGAAGCAGGGGGCAGTCTCCCCTGCCCATCACAGGTCCTGACCAATGGAATGGGAGGTGGAAGGCCGGGCTGGACAATAAGCCCCGCCCTCTGCCCTGGGACCACTGGGAGTGTGGTCCGCAGTCTCCTCCTTCAGGTCCTCCACATAGCTGGGTGTGAGTAAGGCGGCAAGGGGCAACCAGAACCCAGAACCCCCAGGATGATGGGCAGGGACCTGCAGCACTCCTCCCTCCCACCGCCCTCAGGGCCCACACCCTGCCGCACACCACACGCCGAGGAAGGTCAGGCTGCTAAGGCCTGGCCCAAGGTCAGCTGGAAGATAAAGGCCGGGCTTTTAAAAACAGTTTTGTAAAGACATTCTCTGCATTACCGGGAGCCGCTGAAAGAGCGAGCTAGGAGGCTCAGGACACAGGGACAGAAAAAGGGGAAACCAGGCTAACTGAGACTGAGACTCCCGCAAGGGGAAGGGGAGGACCCTGTTTTCCAAGGGGACAGAGGCCGGCCGGGCAGGAAGCGGAGCACTCACCGCACCAGGCCTGCAGGCCGGGCCCGAGCTGAGCGCAGTCCTCCTCTGAGGACACAGAAACCGCGTCCTTACATTGTCCCACCATTAGCCGGAGACACAGTTTAAAATTACAATGAGGAGAGCAGTCGCAGAGTCCACAGCGATGGGCAGGGATCACAATCCGCTGGGCTCCAATAACTAATGAGACAGAACTAACAGCAGTAGGCACAGAAACAGCAGCGACTTTATTTTTAGCTCAAACATTAGGCAGCCGTCTTTACAAGCACCATTAAAGCCGACAATGGTCTGCCGAAACAACTGAAAACTTTCCGTCACCGGAGAGATGAGACTCCATCAAAGGACACGCGCGAGGCCCGCCGAGGAGAACCAAATGGGGCCTTAGAGGGCTTGGGGGTCAGATGAGCCAAGGCCCCTGTGGACACGGCTCACACACTCTCCGAAAGCCTACGTTCAAAAAACATGCACCTGAGCTTATTATCCGGAATTAAATCCCTCTTCCCAGAAGTATAAGGGAAGAACATCACTTCCATAGAGCCGTGCCTTGCACATAAAACACTAATACTCTAGGGCCGGGAATGTAGCTCAGTGGTTCCACTGCCTGCTTTCCAGCGCAAGGTCCCAAGTTTGATCCCAGGTACAAAAACAAAACACTAATGCTTTAAAAAATGAAGCATACAGGCCTGGGGTGAGCACTCACCTAGGAGGTGCAAGGCCCTGGGTCCAAGCCCCAGTTCCCCACAAGAAAGTTACGGATATATTAATGCAGTCACAGATGTCTACAACCTCCAATACTCGAATAGTAGGAAAGCAATTTTAATTGGAAGTATGATCAACTGAAAATTTGCCATTGCTACTTTCCTTTGAGACGATAAATGTATCAAATTAGAGTAATGAGTTTGGCACATTCCCAAATGTCATCCAAGGCAGTCCAGGTTCTGAATACTATATTTTATTTATTTATTTATTTTTGGTACCAGGGACTGATCTCGGGACCTTGCACTTTCAAGGCAGGCAGCAGAACCACTGAGCTAAATCCCTGGCCCTCTGAATACTATATTTAAAAAGGTAAATAAAAACTACTCTATTCAGAACACACAGACATCGTCCTTAGGGACATTATATTATCAAATGAAAACAGCAGGTGATGAGGAGCTACAACCCCACTGACAAAAATTATCAAGGCAAAAGAGACAGCTAAAAATGATCTAATATAGACAGTGGAAATGTCTGCAAAGTGAGGCTTTGCTTAACTTTCAACCATATGGCTTTTGTACGAATTTCCTATCAAAACGAAACTCTAAAGCTCAGGCGTTGGGCGGCTGGATTCCAACTTCAGTCTTATGCCTCAGTAAGTTGTGTGACCTGTGAGCCTGGGTGACCTCACCCAGGGGCAAACACCGACTTCACTGCCCAAGGTAAAAGAGGAAGCAAGACAACCTCTGCTGCAGTTTATGTAATGATCCCAAAACAAAACCAGCAGGCCCAGCACCTGGGGTACTCGGGCTTGTGTGCAGAGGCCCTGAGTCGCCCCCGGTGCACTCTGTGCCCCAGTGCAGCAGCAGGGGGGAGGTGCTCTATTGACGCTACCATTTGTGGGACACAGAATTCAGCCGATTTAAAAAATTCTTCAACATGCCTTGACCCACAAATACTAGAACTTTAATTTTACCAAGGGACACTGTAAAAAATGATAACTGTAAAAGCTAACATTTGATTTATGAAGAGTAGGCTCTGAAAATTCTAGATGATCCTGGACCCCGGACCCTTCCTTTTGGACAATGAAGAGGATGATTCAGGGAGCGAGAGAGGTAGGGTACTGGAGATGCAAAGAGCTGCAGCGAGGAGGCGGGCGGGAGGTGAGAGGTGGTGTCATTGTGCCTAGGGCAGGCAGAGGTGGCATTTGGGGTCAGAAAGGAGAGAGTCCCCCAAGTTCTACTCCGTAACTATCAAGCTGATGAGCTTCCTCAGGCTGAAAGCTCCAGGCGAAGACAGCCCTGGTTTATCTCCGCTCCATTCACCCGGCCACCCCTCTCGGCTCTGACAACAAGCACTACACTTAGTACACAAACCTCCTCTCGGGATTGCTAAAGACATGAGCGGCTCAATAGACAATCTTCTCCATACATATTTTCAACAAATGAAGAGAACCCAGCATAAGCGAGAACTCATCTGCTGTTTCTGGGGTCCCCGCACCCAGCCCCCCCTTCAGATTTCCCTTGGGGAACTAAGCTGGCCTGGCTTCTGGCCGTGGGGCTTGGGCGGGGCTGGTGCCAGCCGCTCCGAGGCAAGTGGATCACCAGCTGTACCAGCGGAGGCTCTAGGTCCTTGGAACGCTGTTCTGCACCAAGGGCAGGGTAGGCGAGGGGCCCAAACCACGCGGGTCGGAACACAGGTGGCAGACAGAAGTCTCACGCTGTTCGCTCCTCCGTGGGGACGCTGAGGGGCTGGGATGAGGCCGGCAGTGGCTTTTGGGGCGTCCTTGCCGCTCGCAGGGTAAGGAGGGAGGGAGGGAGCCACGGAGGTGCGGCCGCCACTGACTAAATGGAAAGGAGTGAGTCAAGGCACAGGCCTCCCTCCATCCTGCCGGCGCAGGTCCTCTCCGACTGTCCTCCCTGCCACCGGGCTCGCGCCCAGGCCGAGGAGCCCACCGCAGGCGGCTCCAGCACGCGGTACTCACCCGCTCCTGCCCAGCGGTGTCCCAGATGAGGAATTTGTGAAGCTCGTTTCCACAAGGTACAGTTTTGGTCATGAAAGAGGCCCTGCGAAGAGAGTCAACACCCACGTTACCTGCGCTCCCGAGACCAGGGTCGCATGGGCTCACGGCTCACCCCGCACGACGCCGCGTCTGCGCCCAGCCCAGAGCCACGAGCGGGCTTGACGGCTCTGAAGTGAGACCGCCCCGAGGGGCGGCAGTGCGTCCCTGCCTTTCTTCGTAGCCCAACTGGAGGCTTCAAAGGAACCACAGAACAGAATGCACTCAAAAGGCTTTCCAGAAACAGCACCACTGGCTTTAAGGCCACGCCCCAGATCTGAGGGAGAAGCGCAAGCTCGGCCACTCCGAACTCACTGCTATGACAGTTCAGGGTGAGAAGGCAGCGGGGTCCGTGGCACGTTACGGCTGTGCCTTTGAGTGGCACACAAAAAAGTCGCCTGCACATTTACCTATGCCGACACAGTCCACCCAACCCTTGCAGCAACTAGCAGGGCACCATATCTAAAGCTCAACCTGCCTGCCTAAAAGTAGGGACAGAGAGTAGTAACAAAAGCTGATGCTTTCTCTATTAAAAAAAAAAAAAAAAGGATAGAGTTTAAAGTTTCAATAAATTGTGAAATACTTGGTACTTTCTTTTTTGCACCTTTCCTCTTACTAAGCATTTTCTTCAAGCTCGTGAAAGATGTAAAAATCCAATACAAGGAACGGTTGGTAGCCTTGACTTTTCTTCTATGGGTTAAAATTTCCCACTCATTAAATAGCAAGTCTGCCCAGTAGTGGGTAATGTTTAATCGGAATTTGATCACGAGGAATCAACCAGGCCACTGCAGAACAGGAACACTCTTCAAGACAGCCGGCCTGAATATTTCAAATCAGCCAACGTCACGAAGAGCAAACCAAACAAAGGCGAAGGAGATTTTTCTAGATCTAGATGGAGAGGAAAGAGATAAAACGACCAAATGCAACATATGAGCCATGAGTGTATCCTGGATTTGGAGAGGCGGCTTTAAGGCTGTCTTAAGGACTCCTGGAGAGGGGCGGGGAGCGTGGCCCACCCCAGAGGCTTGCCAAGCAGCATGTGTAAGGCCCTGGGTTCGAGCCCAGCACTGAAGAAAATAAAACACAAAAAGCAGCACCATTGGAGAGCTTTAGATTGGGACCACATGTGGGGGATCATCGGTGAATCAAATTCACCTTCCAGGCATGGCACGCTGTCCTCACTGTGTTCTTATCTCAGGACAAAGGACGCTGGGGTCTGAGGGCCCACGGGGCCCACTCCGTCCAGCGCCTCGTCACAGATCTCCTTGACTGCACACTCTCGAGCAGGAGGCAGCCACAGAAGTCCCAGGCATGAGGGCACCGTCCTGCGACACCTCCACAGCGTCCACGCACACCGAGGTCACCCACAGGGCTCTGCTCTTTGACCCACACCCACACCCAGCGGCACAAAGCCTGGGTGTCTTCCTAAGTGATTTGATCCACTGCGGTGAAAGCTGCGTCTCTTCCTTTGCCTCTGAAAGTGCTGAGGGCACACATTCCAGACCACGGGTAAGAGCTTTGTATTTCCCCATTAGAACGCAAATGTAGATTTCACAAAAAATCCATGTAAAAAATGAAAATAAAGAAGGAAATAAAAATCAACTATCTCTTATCATCCATGGTCATTGCTAATAAGTTGGTATATGTCCTTCTCATTATTTTTACACAACTTTGACCCTGAGGATGGATCATACTTGACATAAATTGTGGTTTCCTCCACTTGGCATATCACGAACATCTCATGTCTGCGAGTAGAGATCAGTGTCATTATCTAAAGTGACAGAATATTACACGCCACGCTAGGGATTTATTCAACAGCCCACTGATGGACGTTCGGGTACCAGGTTTTCACTCTCCGGCAATGTGCTTGCACTTACATCTGTGTCCTGGCACAGACGCCCACACTTAATTCTTCAAAGTGAACAGGCTCTAATTTTCGCTGCAGATGCCAGGGGTCACAGCAACATCCACTCCTACGGCTGTGCATAAAATGGGCTTCTTGCCAACCATCAGCTATCTTTCTGATCTTTTCCACCGTGAGAGGCAGAAAATGACATTTCATTGCTGTTTTTGATAATGCTCATTAGAAGTCCAGACATTATTTTTGGTGCTCTTATTCACTTGTATCTTCCTCTGTAAATCTCTTCTTGTGACCTTTGCTCCCTGTTGAATCTGGGTAGTCACTCTTTTCTTACTTGTTTTTCAAATATTTTACACTAACCTTCTGTAATTATATATATATTTATTTTATTTGGTACTGGGGATCAAACTCAGGACCTTGCACTTGCAAGGCAGGCGCAGGGCCGCTGAGCTAAATCCCAGCCCCGTAGTAACATATTTTAAATAACATTTTCCAGTTAATCATTGCCCTTTTACTTTGCCTATTGATTTCTTTTCCCATAAAAGCCCTGGAAAATTTTATGTAGATAACTATACCAACTTTTTGTGTTTCTTTTTGCTGTGATGTAAGCCAGATTTCCATGCACGCTTCAACGTACTCCAGGTACTGGACAGCCACCATACTAACCTTGCCCTGCCAAAGTTCTCCTTGGGGTTAGAAAATAAAGCTCATGCCTTTAAAATATGAGAAACAGATTTTTAGAGCTGAAAAAAAGCACAAAAAATCCAGGCCAACACCTTCACAAGCAGGTAAGGGAGGAAAACTTCTAAGAACCAAAGCCTTCGTCCCCAGTCACACTCCGACAGCACAGTCAGGAACTCTGCACAAAACCCCCTCGGCTGCGAAAGAGGCCGACTCCTGCTCTTGGGCACACAGAGGCTGCGATGGGGCCAAACAGGAATGGACACCACGGAAGCCGCCGGCAGCCCAGGGCGCTGCGAAGACACGGGCTAACAGGGCAACCCTGCACACTTGCACGCACGGCACATGCAGGAGGTGAACTGGAGACCTGTGCAAGAAGTCCTGGAAGCAGAGTAAAGCTCAACCTCGCATGGCGAACACATCCACTAGGTATCATTGCCTCGGTGGCCTAAAACTCACAGTGTGATCCGAGTGAAAAAGAATCAGACATACAGAGGAAGAAGACTGGGAGAAAACACGGCAGACGTTTTACAGTGATTACCTCTGGGAGACAGATTGTGGGTGATTTTTATATTTTTACTCATGGTTTTCTTCATTTTAGGTGCTTATCATGAGTATATCGTACTATTTTTTTTTGAGGCAGGGTCTCACTATGCATTTCAGGCTGGCCTTGAACTCACTAGCAGCCCAGACTGGCCTTGAACTTGCAGCAATCCTCCTGCCTCAGCCTCCCGAGTGCAGGGATGACAGGCGCGTGCCAACACACCCGACTATACTTCTGTAATCAGAAAAATATATGATTTTTATCATGGTTTCGAAGATTATGTGACCTCGGAAACTGTTCAAAATACATAAAGTACAGAAGAAGACCAGTATATATGTGTTCTTATTTTGAGAAAATCTGCTTTTCAGATTTCAGGGAGACACGACCTGTGCCCCCTACTGGCCATCAGCCCCAGGCCCTCAGCTTGCAGTGTTTGCTCCACCTCTGACCACACCCCACCCCAAGTGAGCTTTGTAACCAGAAAACTGAGGCTGTAATCTTGGCTCTGTCAAGGACACACGTAAACAGCCATCAAGAAGAGTGAGGAAACCCTCCCGGGAATCATTTATTAGAAGACCCACCTACACAGCCTGCGCTTGGGACTCCACAGACGGGTTCCATAGATGGAAGAATCTGGGATGGAGAGTTACTAAAATCCTGTGGCTTCACTTTTTAACTTTATTCCACCTGTTTCCATACGGTCTGAATTTTTTCATAATGAATATTACAATAAAAACTAATACAACTAATGATACAGTTTTCATTAATGCCTTTTTAGATAAGTTTTAGTTTTACAGAAAAACTGAGCAGAAAGTGCAGTATTTCCATATAACATATAATTTTAGTTTGGCAGTGCTCGGGAATTGAACCCAAGGGCTTTTCGCTGAACTACATCCCCAGCCCTCTATTTATGTATTTATTCACTTATTTAACTTTTTTGAGACCGGGCCTCACTAAGTCACTAAGCTGTGAGGGCTGGGCTCAAACCTGAAACCCTCCTACCTCAGCTTCTCAAAGTATACTGAGATTACAGCCATGCACTACCATGCCAGGGGTGATTCAAAAACAACACCCAAATCACCAAAATGCACTTACTGGAAAAATCACTGTCAACTGTAGTGTAGTCTACACTGCAACCAAACCCTAACCCTGCGGAAGCTGGTGCTCGGGCACCCAACACTAATGCTGCCGCCCCTGCCTCTGCCCGGGCCTTTGTCCCGCTGCAGCCGGAGAGCCGGGGCAGGCTGACTGCCGAGCTAGAGCACAGACAGGTCTCTGGGCTGCGTTTAGACTGCCGCGCATGGGGATCTGCTCACAGGCCCAGCTCAGCCCCAGACCTAGCAGCCCCCGGCTCAGCTTTTTCTACGCTCACCACGGACAGAGAACCACCTCTCTGTCCCTCTCACCATACAGGTTTCCCCAAGTACACAGACACACAGCCCCCTTCTGTGCAAACAAACCACTCATATAGCTCAGGATATCTTCAGAGTGGAATCGAGCAAGGCCCAACTTGCAAAGTAAGAAGCAAGCGTGGCACATCTGGCCAGGCAGACGGACAGGAGACAGGGAGAGGAAGAGAGGAGAGCACTCGGTGTCACGGTCAGGGTCTAGGGATGGGACGGCCTGCCTCCCTCTCCCCTGCCCACCCTAAGAACAGCACTAGGGCTAGCGCTCCTGGACACAGGGAGATGGCCTTGGGCTGCAGTGGGGCAAAGGTGGCTTGGAAAATATGACCAACGGGGACACGAGTGGGACGTACGGTCTGGAGATTCCTGCCTTCCCGGCTGGGATGACAGCAGTGGCCTTCGGAAGGCTCGGCCACAGCGACCGCCCAAGGACCCCAAAAAGGAAAAACACCCAGCAACTTACCCGATGGTAGGGCTGATGTTGTGGTCAAAATGGTCCTGGACAAAGCGACACACGATGCTCGACTTTCCAACCCCGGTGTCCTAGGAGAGAAGGAGGATCAGCCATGATGATCGGAACCCAACCCTGACCCAACCTGAACGCGAACCCAGAGGACAGGACTGGCCACTTCCAGTTGATGCAACTAGGGGCGGAGGAGCAGGGAGGGGTAGTTCTCACCAGTATTTTCTATAATTTACTCGTGCTGCTTTCACAGAAAGCAAAGATTCAGAGACCTATTCCACTTACATACAATAATTAATCTAGAGTGAGCACGCTTACAGCACATGTATTTCCAGAAATCTGGAAATGAGGGGGTGTGGTTCAGGGACTACACATAGCAACACACTGCTTTGATAGAAACAGTTTCAAAAGTTTATTAGCACTCAAAAAAACACAATCTGTTTCTCTAAGTATCACCCTGTAAGACACAATGAATTTTAATTTCTATACTTCTAATTTAGACTCTATATTTTCTCTTTAGACTCTGATGGTTGGATAATAACCTCTCATTTTGCTTAATCCTCTAAAGGTCTTGTCTCAAATCTTTCTCTGTTCAACAATTCTCTAAAGCTGATTAGGACAGCGGTCCAGTTACACACTGGAAATTGAATACATGTGTTAATTTCCACTCCCTTCCTGAACACTTGCTAAGTAGTTTAGGAAATAAAAGACACCAATTCTCAAGGTCAAAGAGACAGAAGAGAGCACCCCCAGCAAGTGGTACCAGGCAGATGCAGGAGGATGGCCGGTGCCCGGGAGCAGCTCGGCTGAAGACAAGGCCCAGCAAGGAGGGAGGCAGTGGACAGCAAGTCACTGTGCCTGCGAATCCCAGGAAACAAGGGCCCACTGCAGGCTGCACACAGACTTACCCTGGAGTCCCAGGAAAAAAATGGAAAGATTACCCTCCAGGAAACCCAGGCTTGGAAACACCACAGGCGCTAAGGGAGGGGCCGGGGCAGTCCTCAGACCTTGATACCCACCACAAAAAGAACAGGGGGCTATTTTAAAAGATCATTCAGGAAATAAGAACAATCACTTAGATATTAAAATGATAATGGTAGACGTTAAAATTTTGTAAAAGAGGAATTTAGAAAATTGCAGAGAGTAGCACAAGGTCCAGCAAAGCCGCTGCCCCCAGGAGGTAAGACCTGCTCTTCCGAGAGGCGGTGGGAGACAGACCAGACGTGCGATTCGGACTCTCTCAACACAAAAACATATTTTGCTAGTGTGTTCGTATCTCAATGAATCACAGAGACCTTTTGAGATGGATCAGCAACAGAGAGACAGACATATTTAGCAAGGGAAGGGAAAAACAGTGTTGTAATTCTCTTGGATTACAGAAAAGCCAAAAGACCAAGGTGAAAATGGTGAAACTTCAGAGAAATGTGTTTTTCTTCAGACACTGAAACACGCGATGAAACTGGAAATCTCAACCGGCCGTCTGGATTATTCACATTCCTTCTTGTGCCTGTTTGCACATAAGGGGCCTGAACTTGTGACACTTGGAGGGTCCTGTGCCTGGAGGCCAAAGCCAAGGCCGGTTCTCTGTAGCAGCAAATCCTGCAGAGTCCAAGGTGACAGGCGGGTTCCAGTCACTGCAGCCCTGCCCTACAGACCTGGAGGTGTTCCGCATCGTCCCTGAGCAGGCTCCGCTCTTCCGCTTGGCCACATGTACGTCCAGGGGAAGAGCTCATCCCAGGCATCCTCCCCCCATGCCACCCCAAATGATGGAAAAGGGACGCCACCCTGCTCCCCAAGATAAGCCGGATGTCCCTTGCCACCTCCTGAAGGAGAGCCGCTTCACAAGCTGCCGGGGCATGGCAGGGCCTCCATGCATTCATTCTTCGCTCCTGAGTCACCAGGAGGCCCCAAGCCACCCTCAGCTCCAATCCACGCTACTGTTTCGCAGTCTATCCATTCACCCCACCCAAGCAAGGGCTCCAGATGAGTGGCCCAAGCCCTCAAAGCAGCCAGGAGAGCCAGCCTGCGAGGTAAGGGCAGCCCTCAAAATGCCCTTCGTGGTGAGCAGCAAAAGCCACTCAGTTACCCAGCTCTACTCCTCGGCTTCTCCAAATCCCCGCCTCTCTGAGTAGTCCGTGCAGCTGGTCTGGAGGTGGACCCAACACCCCCACCCTGTCCCTCGCCTCTCTTTCTTTCTTTCTTTCTTTCAGTCTTTCTCTCAAACAAGTTAATCATCACCACTTCTCTGTCACACACTTAACAGGAAAAAGATACCAGGACAAGCGGATAGACAAATTTTTGGTTTGTTTCAAAAAAGGAAATATTCTTGCAAAGAGCAGCACCAAAGGGTCCTGCCTGGCCGGTGACTGCGGCAGGCGACAGGGCTCTGTGCTGCTGTTCCTCGGCTGGCCGCCAGGGGAGGACCTGCCCACACTAGCCAGGAGCCGGAGCCCTGGGCACTGCGACTTCCTTTTCCTGCTGCAGCCTGTTGGGACTGGGACCCAGGGAGAGTTTGCCGGTGACACACACACAACAAAGGAGAGGCCCAGTGAGTCACGAGGCCACATGAAAACACAGAGAGGAGCAGCACACAGCAGGGCCGTGTGCTGGGTGAACGGGAGGCAGCGAAGTGAGGGCTCCTGCAGCCCCAGCTGGAAAGCCACCGTGTTTCCGTGGCCCTGCACCGATACAGGCTCGTCCCTGTGGCCTTTTTCCATTTATAAGATTCAGAGACCATCACAGCCCCTCCTGCCCAGTCTGCTGGTTTTGCAAGAGGAAGCTGTGTGGCTTCTTGAAGGTCACAGCTGCTGGCAGAGTCGGAACCAAATGTTCCCAGTCTCCGTCAGGTCCCCTCAGGGCACTTAGCAAGTCAGGGCAACCTCCCTGCCAAGTGCAAGTTCCTCTGATAACAACCCAATTCCTAGAACTCACAGACCTCTTCTGAGTGCTTTCTAGTCTCACCTTGCATGGCTCCAGGAGCCTCATATTCAGAGGACAGAGCTGCAGCGATGTGAACGGAGTGATAGGGGCAGCCCCACGGACTTTGAGGAGCAGAGGACAGAGCCACTCTGACTGCCTAGCCCGGGAGCAGCCTCAGTGGAAGCCTCCGGGTGTCACTGACGCCTCCTACTTTCTCTCCTGTGTGCCTGGCATCAGACAGGCACCTAGGCTGCACAGTCAGTTCCACCTGCTAACCGGAGCCCAGTCCCCTGATCTGCTCTCCTGCCCCTCGTACAGCCCTCAGGAAGCGACCACCAATTACCACGACGATCTCGAATTGCTGTATTTATGAATCACATGTAAACCTCTAACTATGAAATCAGGACCACAGACTTTGTGCGGCTGCCTTGTAAAACCCGAGGAGGCACCGCCTGTTGGTAAAAGCCAAGCCCAAGTCCATCCTTCATCACAGGACTGTGGCAAGCCTTCCAGTCTCCTGCCCCTCCAGGTAAAGAACCAGAACTCACAGCCAAAGGCACCGCAGCTACCTAGTCCTGCTCCCACGGTGGACTGTGCTAGTGAACCCACTCACAGCATCTCGCTGAACCCGAAAAGGGGCTCAAGATCTCATCCAGCTCTGCTGGGACCTTGTGGAGATCAAGGCCACATCGAGGAGAAACTGCTGTCCTCCCTGGTCACACTAATCTCACAATGCTCAACATACCGCCACCAATGTCTCCGCTCCAAGTTCAAGAAGCGCTGCTCCTCTGACCCTGTGGAAATCTCTGCATGGGAACTAATAGATGTGCCCTGCTGACAGCTTTATACATCAACATGCCTCTGATGGAGAAAAGGAAGTGACAAACTACACCAGGACCACAGCCTCGGGAATTCCATTCCTAATAATGTAATGAAAGAAGAAAAATCGAGCAGAAAAATTCATTGCAGTATGATTTATAAAAATGACAAATGATCTAAATAAATGAACTATAAATCAAATGAATTATAGCATATACAGTGATCTATTAAACATTGATTTTATTTCCACCACGGGTATTAAAGAGGCGGAATATGATCTTTCCAGAACACACAGATGCTTCTTGATGGAAGGACAGGGTCATGTCCTGATAAGCCCATCCCAAGTTGCAAATATCATAAAGAAAAAATGCACGAACACAGGACCCATTAACGAATAATAAATTAGCATTGGTTTAAGGCCTAACCTACCCAATTTCATGTGTGTCTCAGATTATCTTACCTTACCTCAAATGACTAGGTCAAGCCCTCTGGCCTAAAATGGGACAAAAGTCTCGCACAAAGCCTGTCTCATAATAAAGCACTGAATATCTCGTTTCAGCTCTTAAGTACTGAAGGTGAAAACAGAATGGTTGCATGGTACGCAATGTACCTCATGGTAAAATCTGCAATCAAGCCGTCATAAGTTGAGGACCCTCTGCCTGCCATTTGGGAGCACCTGATAATCCCAGCACCCTTCTCTGCAAGGGTATCTGTGTTATCTGCTCTACGAAGTCACCCCTAGTTAAGGGTTTAGGTTTACAGCCTGACCTCCCTAAAGCCTTGGCGTTGTCAGTGTTGATGGAAGTTGGGTTAATCTTGAGTTTTGTCAGATGGGTGGCACAGGGCACTTGGACTTTGCGGACAGAAAAACGGAGCGGGGAGAGAAACAGGCAGAACAAGGAAGGTTAATGATTTGGGCTCTTCTGCCCCAGAGGAGGAGAAGCCAAGAGCACCCCAGGAACCGGGCCAGAGGAGTGCGGGGTGCGGTCATGAGGACCCACCGGGTCCCATCTGGAGGACGATGGAGCGAGAGCGGTCGGCCTGGGAGAGCCTACTCACCTGCTGCCCAGGTCCTAAAGTCCTGGCCGCAGCTCCTGACGCCCCACTGCCCTCCACAGAACAGAAGACAACAGCCTCAGGACACTGCCTCCCACTGTGCTCGGACAGATGTAGAGAAGGCCCTGGAAACGCGGCACACGTCCCACACAAACCCACTCCGCCAGTTTTAAAAGCTTCAGCTAAGGGGGGAGAGGTTCTGGGTTTGTGACACAGCAACCAGCAGAACCCAGACACACCTGCAAGAGCCGAAGGTTCCACGCAGACATACTGCATTCTATCTCTT